TGTTCTACTGAAGAAACAAAGTCACCTACATCTTGGATGCCCTGGGGGTAAGCAGATAAACATCAAATTTTTTCATTTTTGGGTGAACTATCCCTTTAAACGGATAGTTCACCCCAAAAATTAATATTCTGTCAATTACTCACCCTCATGTCGTTCCAAACCCATAAGATCTTCGTTCATCTTCGGAACACAAATTATGATATTTTTTGATGAAATCCAAGAGCTTTCTGACAACGCAACTGAAACTTTCAAGGCCCAGAAAGGTAGTAAGGACATCATTAAATAGTCCATGTGACATCAGTGGTTCAACCGTAATGTTATAAAGCTACAAGAATCATTTTTTTGCGCAAAGAGAACAAAAATAATGACTTTATTAAAGGGGTCATATGATGCTTTTTTAAAGATCATTATTTTGTGTATTTGGTGTAACAGAATATGTTGACATGCTTTAATTTTCAAAAAACACATTATTTTTCAAATACTGTACATTACTGTTGTAAGTAATCTTAAAGATTTCTAAATGCATCTACTTTCAGAAGGCCAAATAAAGTGCTTTTGCGTTCGCCTAGAAACACACAGCGTCTCCCTGACATGGCTGCTTCAACACTAACTGCGGTTACTGAAACCACGCCTTCTTTCTTTGCGTGCACATTTGGGCGGCATTATGCAAATCTTCCCACATAGTGAGGTAGATATGTGGGGGCGTGTTAGAACGAGCCGTTTTAGGGGGCCGTGGCAGAGTCTTAACTTTGATAAAGAATATCTCTTTGGATTTGAGACTTTAGTCTTTGCAACTTCAGGGATCTTATCTATGCACAATCAGCTTGTAACACTCCAAAGAGAAAGGAAAACTTGAAATCGCATCATATGACCCCTTTAAACAATTTCTACTCTTACGTGTCAGTCTTCGTTCACGAGAGTACCACGGCGCATGTGTATGATGCAGCTAACGCAGAAGCCGGCATTCTGACATAGAACCTGGATGTGCTGCGCCTTGTTTTCAGTCAGAGTAATGCATACACATGCGTTGTTGTACTCTCGTGAACGCACATAGAAGACTGACACAGAAGAGAAAACATTGTTAAATAAATTCATTATTTTTCTTTTCTTTGCGCACAAAAAGTATTCTCGTAGCTTCATACAGGGTTTCTGCAGACATGAACAAGTAAAATTTAAGACTTTTTAAGACCTTTTTAATACCACCTTATATGAAATTTAAGACCTAAACCTGTAATGGAAATACACATTTTATTACATACATATATGTAATATTTAATGTGTATAAATTAAAAAGAAAACAAAATATCATTGCTGTAATAAATGGTATTTATAACTATGATATACAGCAAACTTTTAATGTCAGCAGACAATATTCCATACAAAATATCCCCGCAAAATAACTGCATCACTGAGATTTTTGGTGGAGTAAATTTATTCTGAAGCAATATTTCATCAGTGTTCTATCAGCTTTTACATACTTAAATCTGCATATTTACCTTTACAAAGGCCTATTTTTAACCTTTTTAGATGTATTGAATTTTTTTTTGCGTCGTGAGAATATTGAGCAAAATAGCTCACTTGTCATGGTGTTATTTAACAATATCATGTTATGAATAAACTAAACATTTTGAATTTTTACCTCAGTGTGTTTCTTCTTAGTTTATGTGTGCGGTCACGCTCATTTGTTCTGAAGTCTCTCACAAAGAGACAAACAGAGTGAGCGCCTCAGCGCGAGTTTGTATTCTGTATTCTGCTAACGTACTGCAATTCTCTCTGATGACGCAGTAACTTACCGCAGGGAAGAAAAAATCTTCGGTCTGTCCAATGATTGTAAAGTCATTAGGTGCGTCAGACTGAAGATATTTTAGCGGTAATGAGACCAAAATAATTAAGACTCATCGAATCCGAATTTAAGACATTTTAAGACTTTTTAAGGACCCGCGGACACCCTGACCCGGTCATGCATGAAAAAAAATTCCGTCATGTACCGTGAAACCGGTATAATTTTGAAAAATACCGTGATATACATTTTTGGTCATACTGC